TACAAATCCACCATGGCAATATTATGGTGTCAACTTCTCGATTATGCTTTCAAACATGGGATAAAATAGTGTCGAAAATGTTGCGGGGTTTTCAAACGAATGAACGCATCTCCCTCACGTAGGAAGTGAAATGTAAGTTGCCACACTATTTATTCCGCAATAGAAACACACGCGACCTTCCAGCGGCAAACCTACATGGGGCAATACAGACCACAGAGATGGTGGCATTCAACATTTACGTAACAAAGCATGTGCATCACGTTAATATTTCTAGGAGACAACCGCTAAGTGGCACTGGTGCTATTTAATGGATCTCAGTGTGCTACCCCAGACTCCCAACACCGATGGGACGCTGCCGCATTGTAATGGTGAGCACACTTCGACTTTGAATGTGAAGGTCGCCAGTTCGATTCCGCCTCCCGGCGTGCCAGTTGACACGAGACAAATTTCGAAACGCCCCCAGGCCTCACCCAATATAATCAGTGTAAATTGGTACATCACAGTCGGTCAGAAGGGAAAGTTGTGTACCGTGAGGTGAAGTGTGGATTTTTCTTCCACGTCATCCAATGATGTCTGGCCAGAATGGAAGAGAAGACCTCATGCACTACACTACAGCTCTATCTCGTGGAGGCCCTTCTCCCAGCAGTGATGTGAGCGAGCAATTGCAGGGATTACACCGTTACCTTTTTTGCCCACACGAATACCCAATGCAACGCTTTAATAATCAAACGCTTACTTTATGAAGTCTACGGACGGCGAGTTTACACGTAAGCTTGGTGCAGGGTGCCATAGGCTACGATGTCACATTAATAACCAGCAGCTTATTTATTTATTTGCTCATTTTGCTTTAATTTTCACCCAGATATTGCGCAGCAATACCAGAGGCTGTTAGGGTCACTTAGCCGCGCAACATCCTCATGTTTACAAAGAGGTAAAACATCAAAATTAATAAAAAAAATAAAATAATATAATATAATAAAATAATATAATATAATAAAATAAAATAATTAATTTTCTTTTTTTTATAAAAAAAAATTATAAATTTTTTTAGAATTTTTTTCATTAATTTTTTTATTCATTTTGATGTTTTACCTACGTGACTTTACCGGAAAAAACCTAAGAATATGAATCCTTGCAGTCACGAAAGCTTCAAATCTAGAAGTTTACAAAGAGGTTTCTGCTAGCCAACAGAGCCTCCGCCGCACCTCAAGGGGGTGGGCAATTATACGTCAGGCGCGGCAGCCCCGCCCTCACTCACTCACGTGTGTGTGTGTGTGTGCGGCGTGCGCCTGCGGAGTGATTCAAGAGACGCAGCCTAGGTCCGCGATTCCGTGTCTCTCACACTGTGTCGGTCAGCTTGCCTTCATTTGGATAGCATGTTCTTAGGTTTTTTCGGTAAAGTCACGTAGGTAAAAAATTAAAATTAAAATTAATGAAAGTAAAATAAAATAAAAATCAAATAAAAATCACGAAGTTTAATTAATTTTAATTTAAAATTTTTACCTACGTGACTTTACCGAAAAAACCTAAGAATATGAATCCTTGCAGTCACGAAAGCTTCAAATCTAGAATTGAATAGCATGCTTTATTCAGCTGTACAATCTGCACGCAAAACCCACTGCTAGATCAGTTGTTCCCCCCCCCCCCCTTGCCGCCCCCACCGTGCAAAGTCTGTCAATAAGGTGACTTGACCGTACTTTATCGTGCTGGTCAGTGTCGAGTTCGTAACGGTGGTGGTCGGGGAAGGGGGTAGCATAGCAGCAGTACAGGGCAACAATGCATTTTGCTGCACTCCACTACTCTCTGCCGTTCCCAAACGCACGTGACTCCGAACGCTACGCGCCCTACCGCACCGTTGTTCAGGGTGGCACACGCGCGCTCTGTTGCACTGGCAACGGTGATGCTCGGGACCTCGTGCGAGCTGCTGCATCTTACGTAATGGGAAGGCAACCACCCTTGGAGCACTGCGTCTTGCGCCCATTTGTTTCCGTCACGGGAAACAAAGGTGGACGATGCACCTCAGTAACTTCACCGTGAACTCTTTGTATGCCGTCGTTAATATTCGCACGCCACGGCAACGTAAGAGCACTCTATAGGCTGTAGGTCAATGGCAAAACAAGGATGAGATGTGCCGCTGCATTGCTGCATCCACTCTACGTCTATACGAAAGGCTAATATTAACTTAATGCTTACTAATATTGACTGTCCCAGTGAGTTTATGCATGTGTGCGTGTGAGCGAGTGCATGCATGTGGAGCGCAAGTGTAGCGGTTAGCGTGTTGCGCTAAGAACCAGGTGACCCGAGTTCGATTCCCGCTCACTACGAACACCGGTAACAATTATCTGAACCAGTCCTGGGCTTCCCCTGAAATCAGTAACCTGGTGAGGTGTGAAAACATCGCCACTGGGGAGACAAAGGCGGCCAGACGTGGTGCTGACAACTTATCCCCTAGTGTACCGTGCCAGCCTTCATATGTGTTCGCTAACAGCACTTGTCTTTGCACGTGCGTGTGCATTTATAGCCTTCCACCCCATTCACTTGGCCTCAGAGCGCACCCAGCCTGGCACTAGCACTGCAGCACCATCGCCGCCACTGAGTGGGGTGAATGGCAACTCCTGTTGTGGTTGTTGTGTACATTTACTCCGACATGCAGTGGTGCCACACATCGCTCTTCTCAGGACCTTGCTGCTTGGAGTTCGATCTCCACCCAAGGGTTCCGTCCATGGTATGCGAGCCTCTCCCCGGACCTCCCCTAGGTGAACTCATCATGAATTGAGTATCTGGTGTGGAATACAAATACCATCTCGAGAAATATAAAGGCAGCCGAGGTGGCACACGCGTGTGAGCATGGCATCGCTAAAGGTTGGCTACGCGAGCGAGGCAATGGCAGGAAAAGCCCTGCGCACACCACCTCTAATATTTTAGGGCTCAAGGCATTTATGCGTATGGGTCAGATTGCCTATAATATTTTATAATGCCACTGACAGCTTTGAAGAAGACTGCCAAATTGCATACACCTCACAAAGCCAGCCCCGCAGTAAGTGTCTGCATACCTTGAGGTTGCACTCAGGGTGCAAGCAATCCTATTACACTTACATAATTGTTCAATTCATCTTGATGGGTTGGAACGTATTCGGTATGCAAGGTGTTATAAAAGTGTATGAGGACAAGAAAGGTTTTCCTTTTTTCATGACAGCTTATGTTCAAATTTCAGACCCAAGATTCCACCGTCAGAATCAGTTCCATTTAAAAACTGGAGAAAGTCTTTTCGGAGACTAAAACAAGGTCAATCGATGCATTAAAATATTTTTTTCAGACCCAAGATTTCACCGTCAGAATCAGTTCCATTTAAAAACTGAAAAAAGTCTTTTCGCAGACTAAAACATAGTGATTGTATGCCTCAAGAGCTATTACTGAAACGTGGTTACTTCGCGATTTGAGAATGAGAGATATTGATGCGCACTCTGTTTAAAAAGAAAAAAACTGTACAAACATTCATCGGCAACAGACTTTACACCTCTTTGTAAAAAATTCAAATACCATCGCTGGTGAACATCAATTTCGTAACGAGACAGGTGGCCATTGATCTTACATGAGAGTAATTCAGGCAGGATTCCTGCTCCCCCGCGCTGTCTAGAACTCCACGCAATACGCAAGGCCGTACCCGTCCTTCTGAGATGCCTCTCCGCATTTCAATCAATGACACATTCGCAAGGTTTCTGTGCAGAGGTTAATTCTGTGCCAGTGACAAGCACCTCTCTCAAAGTATGAGGGCGCCGCGGTGGTGAGATGTTAACTTCCTCGCCTGGTATACAGGAGGTCGTGGGTTCGATCCCAACCCTGACACCTGCAGTATATTTGGAGTTTGCATGTTCTTCCTGTGGTTGTGTGGATTTTTCTCCAGATATACTGGCTTTTCCATCTACAATTAGAATCAACGTGCGTTGACAGTATTTGGCCGCTTTAAATTTCCACCCGATGATAATCCACTTCATTGAGCTATCATTTGAGTCCAGGTCGCTTCGGAAGAAGAGCGGTATAGCTCGGTGGGCCTTAAATAGTTTATTATGATTCTTGGCGTATCATCCAAACGGGTTTGCACTCCCCCTTAAATGTGATGTACGATTTAGTTGGGGCCACGCAATGTGCCTCGGATAGTTTCTACCCCTCGAGCGTCTGGTCACACTTGGGTGAAAGTTAAAAGTGCCAGGTGAAACAGTGCCCCAAAATTGTGAGTGCTGGTCACCAGAATGCTGTTCTAATTGTCTACATTCGGAGCACGTGGGTGACCGTTATGAATACACAGATTGTGATGCTCACGATGCTTGGATTGAATTGCGTGAGTAAGCGTCGGTTCTCTTTAGACCTGTGCATGTTGTTGGTGATTGTTCTCGTATCCCATTGCATCCACGGGAGGCGGCACTACATTCATGGCAATATTGAACAAAAAAGTAACCAATCCTGGAATTGACTGATAGGGGTTTTCCCCTTTTTTCTGGCAACAAAACTGACACCTTTTGCAAGGAATCATGCTTACATTAACCACAACACTTGCAGTCAAATGCAAACAAAAACAATACTCTGATAATGTATGCATTGTCTTTGAAACGGATTGGTCCACACCAGAGACAGCTTTCTTTAGAGCCTAGTCTCATATGGTGTTCGACCAGATGACGCCAACAGGCGCACGGTTCAAAGACAACACACCATCAGAGTAATGAGAGCTCGGGGTGAGCAGCTACATCATGGGACCTCCTCTGCCAGTACCAAAATATACTAATAGGGTTTTTTCCCTTTTTTTCTGGCAACAAAGCTGACGCCTTTTGCAAAGAATCATGCTTACATTAACCACAATACTTGCAGTCAAATGCAAACAAAAAACAATACTCTGATAATTGATTTACGATCCCCCAAACCAAATCGTCGCAATCCATTCAACCACCAGGGGGGGGGGGGGGGGGCACTGCCTGACTGCGTGTTGCCACGGCGGTGCGGGGTACCTGTCTCGGTATCGGACTTGTTGTTCTCGTGTTCCGTGTCGGTAAGCGTCAGGACGGAGTTGGCGCGGCTTGGTGGGTAGGGGTTGCCGTCCGGTTTCCCGTCGCGGGCTCGCCCGCCCCGGGGCTCGTGCTCGTAGGGCAGCGTCTCTTCCGTCTCCGTGTCGGAGTCCGAGGCCGCGACGTCGGCTCCGTAGCTCATCCGGGCCAGCCTCACGTCCGGCGTGTACCCGCTGTGCTGCAGCTGCGGGCCGGCCAGGAAGGGGAACAACAACGGCGTGAACTCAACGCCACCTGCGTAGGCTTCCCCGGTGGTGCTGCGTAATGCTCCGGCGTGTTTGAGGGTGGTTGCGAAGCGCGTGTTTTTCGGCACGAAGGTTCCTGAAGACGCTCCCAGCATGTGGAGTGAAATGTCAAGGATGAAAATGTATAGAATGTGATTTTTTTACCTCCTTTCGCTTACGTGGCAGAGTAAAACAGGCAAAAGCGTTGTAACCACCTGCCTTTTTTTCTGTTAAATTCTCTGCGACCAAATCACAATGAACGCATTCGATCTAGTCCGATGCCAGAAGCTAAGCAGGGGGGGAACTTGGCTAGCACTTGGGTAGGCGAGCACCAGAGCCCGCCACCCCCGTTAGGCACGTGGGGGCTACGGGGCGAGAGACCACGGCGTCCGTGGCGGCTGACGAAGGAGCCAGCCCATTACCTGCTGCCCTGGGTCGCAGACGACGCCCGCCATCATGGGGTCGCACACTCCACCCGTGGTCCTCTGGGGGATGGGCTCGCACACGCCGATCTCACGCAGGCAGTACTCCACGCCTGCACGCGCACGGACACAGGCACGCGACACGATAGCAACTGACACAGCGTCTAAATCATGATGATGATAATAGTATGGGGGCGGTTGACTTCGACTAGTAAACGCGCACACATTTTTCTCGCTCTCGAAGAGAGAGAGAGACCATACGAGAAACCACAAGCAGCAAAAAGCAGCGAAGCGATGCGCTGGTGTCAACAATTGTCCAAGATCTGCCATCCTCTTTATGTAAAGGTGTCATCGACCAATGAACGTTTATATGTCGGAGAAAACTGGAGCTCCCAGGGAAAATCTGCCCATGCGAGGGGGCAAACCTCTATCCCTCACAGTCGGAACTGGTGGAGACCACATGCTTGCTGTACCGCATTCTCCTGCCAAGCCAAGGTATGGCACCTCGACGCCCACGAGAATGGAGTATCACAACATCGGTGCGATTCACCAACCCTCACTGCCTCCACAGTGTTGGATTAGACCGGGGGAGCCTCTAATGGGACCACTGCCGGTAGAAGGAGGCTTTTCTGCCAGCATTGGCATGAGCAATCAATTGCAGGGCTGCACCTTTGACGTTGATACCGTATTTGTTGTTGGGCCCTCTAGTAATTGTATGCCAACATTTACAACAATAACAGAAACCCTACGTGGCTGTCAATAGCCACGTTTTAAGTTACCCCCACCGAGATGAAAATAACAATTGCATTGATATTATAGCCAAAATATAACAAACATCTCAAAGTGCAGGTTATTTAGCCTTGGGGACCCCGAGAGGCAACTTTGTCCCAAAATTAACGCATCTCAATTCTGTGCACACAACACAAGGCGACCTCGTTATTCGATCACAGCGGGGAATACGGGGGATTTCATTTACGCGAAAGCAGAAACTTAGAGGGAGAGACGGGCCTTGGGAAGAATTTGTTTTCTTCACAGTATAGACACTCGACGTGCAGTAGAGTGGTGGTGCAGCAGTTTGTGCACGGCGCTACGAACAAGGCAACTTGAGTTTGATCCTAGATTTGAAGCTTTCGTGACTGCAAGGATTCATACTTTTAGGTTTTTTCGGTAAAGTCACGTAGGTAAAAAATTAAAAATAAATTATAAAAATAATAGAAATAAAAGAATAAATCACGACGTTTCGGAGGCAACACAAGTCTCCGTCATCAGGTTGGACCGTCACAGCTAAATTTACTGTATCAAGTGAGGAAAAAATCCAAGAGACAAGATCTTAAATACAAGTTAAGGGGGATGGGGGGGGGGCTTATCTGAATGTGGTAGCCAGGGAATGGAACGGTGGGGGGGGGGGGCTAAAAAAAACAATGGTGCACATCGCTGATAATCAAAATAAAAGAAGAAAGTAGTACTGTTAAACGCTGGGGATGTCAACACTCGGTAAAGTAGAATAGTACCTGTCAAATAAGATGGTAAAAATATGTGTAGTTAAATCTTTTTGTTGAGTTTCATCACCGGTTACCGGCAAACGATATCTGCATAATATGACTTTAAACCCCCCGCCAAACCTCCTACGCATTTCACAAGTAGTACTAATCACATATCTGCATTTCCCATAATATGCTAAATTCCTCTTGATATGCAAATTCTTTTGTCAAGGCGGTCTTACCCCCTCCATCCCAGCTTAAATATACGCTCCAAGTCTGGGGTGTTTCATTCAGACGCTGTCTTCTCGACAGACCTGTTCTCCACCTGAGGACGGCTGCTTGCGTTGTGGCCAAAACGTCGTGAGAATTATTTAATAATGTTTAATTTTTATTATTTTATTATTTCCATTCTACGTGACTTTACCGAAAGAACCAAGGAGATATCTGCGCCGGTCAAACCTCCCATCCCAACACCCCTCTCCCCGTGCACGCTCGCTCTGAGATGCAGAGACAACGATGAGGCTCATAGCTATTGGACGGGAGAAGTCAGGTGGTGGCGTCCGCCCCAAGATCTCTCTCTGCATCACGTTCTGTGACCCTCAGGGGAATTGCTAATTGTTAAGATTAACCTAGCGACCAACAATGGGTCATGGAAGCAAAGAAATCTGGACCAGTCCACCACCCTCTCCTGGCCCTACCCCCCTAGACCACCCAGACGCGGGGGGGCGGGGGGGGACCAGGAGTGGCATAGTGGCATGAAGAGGCCGTCATCCAGCAGTGGATTGACAAATAGGTCTACATGTAACCCAATGTACACGTCACACACATGGTGTACGTATGGGCACTGCTGAACATGTACCAGAGTGCACACACGCAGACACACGTACGTACGCAAAGTGTAGGGACTCATTTTTTTTTAAACCAAGTGGCACTGCTTTAGAAATTGCGGCCGAGATGAAGCGAGAGGTCTAAAATTGACAGCAACATTTTCACAGCCCACCCCCCGAGGGGCATACGGGCACACAGACGTTGTCAATCATGCGGCGCGTGCCCACTTCCCCGCGCGCACACACCGGGGACAAAATTCCATATGAAGGTGTCATCGACTGTAATTCACAAAAGAACCCCCACCCTCCACACCACCACCTCCCCACGCACACTCACACACGCACACAAAAGAGGATACGATTTGAATGCCGCATCCCCACGATCAGAGTGGCTTTGTGGCTCAAGTGCGCCCAGATGCCATACCGCCGCAATTCGCATGGCACCTCTGGGGTTTCTTGAAGAATGCCGCATCGCACCATCGAAATGAAGCTCAATTCACGGTAGAAGCTGCTGAAGGATCTGCTGTGCAGTGGAGGATGACAACCTTGACGCTGTTGTCTGTAGCCATTAGAACACAGCGCAGGCGTGCAGGGAATTGCTGAACCGACACCTCATTTGGCATCGGCACAATTTTGAGAGGCCCTATTGCACAAGAGTGGCAAAAGAAAAAAGAGCTTACTGTCTGAGCCAGTGATGGATGCATGCTCAAGGCCAGGGTTAGGTATAGTGACGACGCAGCTGGCCAGGTATCTCTGCGGTTTACAGGAAGGTGCATTGAGAAAGGCTGTTCCATAAGATGTACGAGCTTGAGTGGATCATGACCGATGGTGATGATGATGGCAAGTAGATGATGCGTATTGTAGAACGCCGAAGTTGCAAACAGCATCGCTCAAGCAAGATTTCAGAGCCGTGATGTTTGCCAAATTCAATTCAGCCGCCCCGTGTCCTATCTAATCACCCACAGCGCCCCACATCCAAGACCACCGATGTATTTTCCCTACTCACGATCTTTGGCCGTTACCTTAGCCCCCCGTCTCTTGGCCACTACTGCCGCCCACCACTCATTAGTGGTGCCATCTGTCCTGGTATTGCGGGGATTGTTTTCTCTTGTGTTTGTTTAGGTAGGTGCTGCCCTGGGAACTCTGCGAGTCGTACCAGGACATTAAAAGTTGCAGTTTCTGTCAGCTGCACAACAACAATAATAACAATACACCGCTCGAGACGAAGGATTTACATGTGGTTCACCTCCTCGGCTGGCATCGCGAGTTCTTTTTCTTCTTGCTGTGGTATTTCCTGGTTGTTTGCAACTTAGAGTAGCGCTCACCCTCCCCTCAACAGCGTCGCGATGTCAATTAACGCTCCCAACTTGTAATAAGTATAACCCGTAAAAACAAAGTTTTTCACTCTAAATCCTTTATATGCGTGGCGGCTAGAGTCCTCTCGTCCTCTGGCTTGAGATGGCTGCCACCTATGGGTCAGATGATTGTCTGCAGTATTAAACAATTGGTAATTAAATATTTAATTTGTTTTCCCTAAACAGTGTAAAATTTAGTAAAAAAAATTGCACGAACATTAATTGTCTCGCACAACGAGTCTGTGTGCAAAATGTCAGCTCGATTGGATCACGGGAAGTGGGTTAAAAAACGACCGAAAGGTTTGCACGGTCGTAAGCAAGCAAGCACGCAAGCACGCAAGCACACAAGCACGCAAGCACGCAAGCACGCAAGCACGCAAGCGAACTTAATATAAAGGATTTAAAAAGGGTTCCACCGCTGATGATGAGGCATGTGTGTGGGGAGCGGTAGTGTAGCAGTTAGCTCACCGCGCTGCAAATCTGGCGACCTGGGTTCGGTTCCTGCTCACAGCCAGCACCATTTACAATTATCTGTAGCGGTTCTGGGCCTCCCCTAGGTCGACTCTGCCTCAAACGAATACCTGGTGTGGTGTGTAAACATCGCCACTAGGGAGACAAAGGCGGCCGGGCGTGGTGCCGGCCACCCATCCCCTGTGTGCCTTGCCGGCCTTCATAGGTGCTCGCTAACAGCACTTGCTCCTACAGTCTGTCAAGGCTACACGGGGGATATTTGTCTTGAACTATGCTTGATGCCCAAATGGGCAGTTTGGACCAGAGGGAAAAAAATTAAATGTAGGCCACACTAAGCCAGAAGAAATGACTGCACAAAAGGCAATTCTATGGATTAGCAAGCAGCGCAGGATCAATGAAAAACAGTCCATGAGCAGACATCTATCGGAGACCAAAAGCGAGGCATGGGCATACCTCTGCAGACGTTACGTTAGTGAACTGCGCTGAGGTACATGAATCTGAACATGACACTAATGCAGAAGCTTGATTTAATGTGCGTTTTAAAATATCTTCCTCAGAATGATTTATAATAACAGAGCGCCGCCAAATAATTAACCTCTGATGGAATCCAGTTGATCTTCGGTTTTTTGTGTGTGTGTAGAATGTCTGCTCTGCGCGTGGTGGAATCATTACCCAGGCAAGGGAGAGCTCACTCCGTGCGTTCTGCATTACGGGCGCTCACTGTTGAGGCCAGGTGAATTTTTTTTCATCTGCCATTGCAGAGGAACGGGGAGGTCTGACAACAGCATTCGTTCTGCGTCTGAACCGCCGCCAAGACAGCAAAACCCTCTTCTTGGTTATTTCGGTAAAGTCACGTAGAAGGGAAATAATAAAATAATAAAAATAAAACATAATAAAATAATTCTCACGACGTTTCGGCCACAACGCAAGCAGCCGTCCTCAGGTGAAGAACAGGTCTGTCGGGAAGACAGCGTCAGGT